GAGCTAACTGTTGATTATATAACTCTCATTTGTCTGATGACGAGCTGGGGGACAGACGCAAATATTTACACAAAAATGTGATTCATTTCCTAAAGAACTTAGCCCGCTTATAATTAATCCATCAAAACTATCCTTTCTTGCATTCATCTGGTGAACAATCACGTCTTTGAGAAGAAGAAGACTCGATTGCTGGGACAATATGTTTATTCGCATGACGTTTCGATATCCGTCGCGGATTCGTCATCAGAGACATGAGTAGCAGAAAGTAGCAGAAAGAACCTCTTTCTGCTAATCACGTCTTTCTGACTTTGTATTCTCAAGAGAAGGATATCCTTAAGGTTTTAAAAAGACTTCGATTTCCCGAATACTTTACCTTTAGGGTTTTCTGTCTACAAGCTGCATGGTGACTATGTATCGAATAACACATTTTCCTCTATAACATCAAGAATGTAGTATATATATTCTTCACAAAGATCTCTAAGGAATGCAAACTATATAGTTTGTTTATTGAGGAATATTTACAAGCGTATATAAATGAAACAATTTGAATAGACATTGCACGGTCTTAGAGGTCAACTTTTTTCAAGTCGTAATACTTCCTTGTTTTGAAGATAACTGTTGACGTCGTAATTTTCTATTATCTCAGTACAAGAGAAAATAGACTTTGTTTGAAATATCTTGGGATTAATTTGGGCGTTTATTAATATTTTAACCCATTAAGTAACCCTTCCTACTGTAATTTTAAACTACAAAGGAAACCTGTCAGTTGTAATACCCGAGCAAAAGGCAACGACTTTTCGGTAAGAGTCCCTCCTATAGCCGTCCAGTGACAAAAGTCTCCCATCCCAAGTGCCCTAAGAATTTCGTGGTAAATAGTTTAAGCTTGAATAATGCGTAGTTAATGAGTGTTTGGTGCGCGAGAAGTGTACAGTAGGAAATCAAATTAAGCCGATTTATTGAACCAAAAACTTAGGTGAAGTGTTTGTGGAAAGGACAGAAAGACTGAGCAAACTGTAAGAGCAAATTCTATTTGTTAACAAAGAAGGTATATAGACAAAGAACACAATAAGAACAAGTCCTATTGGTTAAAAAAGGAAGTCTGGTCACCAAGAAAACTATTAGAGCAAGTCCTATTACCATTAGGCAGCCATACGAGGAACTCTTCGAAACTTTTCTTCTAAAAATAAATCAAGCCCACAATATTGATACAAAAGCAAAACAGAACTTGGCTAGGACACACACAGTAAAAAAAGATATATCTTTGAAGATCCTGTTACTATTAAAGAAACGCTAGATTTCCGATTTCCGTTTCGGGCACACTTTTTATTTCCACCAAAGGTAAATAATTTAGCTGGTACTCAGACAGCGACCATAATAAACTTACCAAGCGCAGACCTTACAATTCTTCCCTGTTTCAGTCCGAATGTTCGGGCTGTATAAAGGACAACGGTAGTTGGATCAGCGAAAATGGCTGGACCAGTCTTTACCTACATAGGCAAGCTACTATCGTTTCCAGGACGAAGCCGTACGCTGTAACATTATGTAGCGAGGATCAATAGTAGGCGATGTGCATTTTCCCGACATCGGTATTGATAATTCAAACTATCGACATCTTCAAATGATCTACAGACTGTGTTTTTTAAAAAAAATTATGAAAATTAAGGATAGAGTGAATGCAAATGAGCAGTTACCTTTTTTTGTTAGGTCATGAACTGCACTTCTTAAAATTCAGGTCACAAGCTAGTTGGACTAAAACTAACTATTTTGGGAGACCCGCTGTCCATAATCACTGATGGAGTCCAAAAAACTAGTAAAAAGCAAGCAGTTAAAGGACCGCTTTTACAAAATTATTTGAAGGATATGCACCGAAATAACTGCGGTTCTGCCGTTCTTGGTCGTGACAAGATATTCTCTTTCAGAACTAATTCACATAGGCCTATAAGAGATTCTAACACATGTTAAAGCTGTGCCTACCCATCAGGTCTCGGGACATAATGGCCCTTTTGTGCTGTGGAGCTCAGTGTAGGACCCTGGTTTGCGGAATTCAACAAGGCTTGAGGAAAACTGCAGGGATTTGTTTAGGTCTTGCGTAAAGTTCAGTTGCAGAAAGCCGTTAGAAAGGAGTTTTAATACTCGGAATATTTTTCGCAAAACGTTTCGGATTTCTTCTCGATACTTGCTATGCTGTCACACACTTACTAAAATTGAAAGACTCCATGCAGTCACCACAGATATTGAAACAATACGACAATTAAAAGAAGGGGAATAAGCACTCATTTTTTGTTAAGAAAAACATTTTCTTACTAATCCTCAAGTTCCGGCGACATAAAAATAGCTATAGTTTAGAACAATACATTTAAATCTTTTGTTCAGTTGCATGCATAACAGTGTCTGTTTCTTTATATAAAAAGAACATCTCCTTAGTCAAATACTTCAAACATATTGGCATTTTTCAGTTACAATTACTAAAAAAATCGATCTTTGAATTCCGACAAATTTTCGATGATCTTCTGTGTTTTTAATCTTTATTTCATAATCGTAGTTTCTCTGCGATGTTCACTTCAAAATCTTTAAAATATCTATTAAAAGCCGTGTAGGCCATATTTACTAATTTTTCCAAATGGCCAAAGCCTATCCTCGATCAAAATGAACGACCTCAACAGATATCCGATGTCTTCTTTCGTAAGATTAATTAAAAAAAACTCTCTATAATAGGTTGCCTCTTTAAAACGCACTTATATTAGATATTCAGCTAACGAACCTCCGTGCACCTTTCCTTTGTCATAGGTAGCGTCAAAAGAAAAATCGAGAATTTTGACAATCTTTTAAATTTGGCTAGAAGTTTAAAAAACGCACTTTTTGCTTTCTTTTGGTGTAATTTCAACCAAAGTGGATTACTTCCACGCCCTGTTCTAAGCTTGCGAATGGAAAAAAGATTCGCCAAATTTCTTCTAAGATAATGCAATAATTATGAATTTTCTGTCCGTCCTGTTTCTAAATCACGCTTAAACAGAAATAAGAGTGTACAAAAGATCTGTTTTTTACGTTCATTTTGACGATAATATATGGCCACTTTTTGTTACTCCGCAAATACTTGATGTAGACAAAACGTTTTTGTTACCGCATTTGGTGGCATTTAAAGTTCAAAATTTAGCAAAATATAATTATTCAAACTGAAATTGTTCCTTGTTTCTGAAAATAAATGCGACTCCCCCAAATTGGCTTCACTTGCATGTGAGCAACTTCGGACCAAATTTTCCGTTTCTGGAAGTGATATGTTTCAAATTTTCCTTAGTGATTTTGGGGTTCACCCATACCGTAATGCATAAGCATACCATAATGCATATTAATAAATAGTTTGGTTTTGTCCCAGTCAGTAGCATAGGAAATACCTTTGATGTCGGGCTTCCTATGATTCCGCCAAAACTAATGCCTATTTCTACCAATACACTAAACGTAAAAGGCAGTTTTCTTCACTAAAAGGCTTTCCCAGGATTAAATCCACTCATAGGGTCAAAATAATATGACCAAATATATGCTTAACTACCAAGTCAAATCCCGACATCACATTTGCACAAATTCCTGGGCATGCTGCACATGGTACAGTAACTTTGACGTCAGCACCGAACCGCTAATGACCGCGATCCCAAACCAAATATTGGTGATTAGTGTTTGGCTCTTTGTCATTGCTTCCGAAGAGGCGTTCGCCCGCGTCCTAATTATGCAACTAGGTACTTCGCTGAGACAGTCTCATTTTAGACGCCGACGCCTACGCCGACGCCTACGCCTACGCGCTGCCGATACAGTGACTCGCACAAAGAAAGCGTCAGCGAATGACGCGACCAAACCAACGCCAAAAGGTGTACATCCTTTGCAGAAGGAGTCAGACATGGATTTAGAGCATCGGAATACTATTAATACTAATCATCCTCATTCTCTTCCGATATACTTAGGTTTCACGGCCAAAATCAGGCTTTTTCTGCATACTTCGACATATGTAGAAGTGCAAATTAACTAACAAGTAGCGAATACCACTAAACTTTTTTCCGTTCAGTTTCTTATTTACATATTAGCGAAAGTTATATTGTACAAAAAATATCTTGCCACGGGTTTCAAAATAAACAGGATAATATGTTTAGTGTCCACGTGCAGGATGGCATAAATACACTTTTGGTACTGTGCCAAAGCTTCGGTGCGGCAAAACAAAGTACAGTCGGATAAGATTATTACTGCATTTTGTGACAAAAATCTTCAGAAATTGGCAAAAATTTCTTCATACTGAATTCGTTCATCCTTTTTGGAAAATAATGTGATTCCTTAAACTTGCTCCTACCTTATTTTTTACTAGAGTTAAATTAAGTTTCCTTGTTCTGGAAGGGATTTGCGTTGAACCCTTCTTGGTTATATTCGTGTTAATTTATAGCCCAACGTACTAAAACAAAAGCGTTGGTTTTATCATATTAGATAATATGGAAGATTGCCGTAATATTTGACAACTTACGATTTCGCCAAGATCCTGCTGGTTTTCCTTTAACACAAAAGAACACGCAGGCCATTTTCCTTACAACAGTTCTTTCTGAGCATCAAAGTCACTCGACAGATGACACAAAAGACCAAATACACACTAATTTATCAACTCTAAGTTCGCTCACGACTTTGCGTGATTTAGACCACCTACTCTACCTCTCAAAGGAACAAATCAAAGTGGAACCTCACTGAAAAAAAATACAGTATAGAATATCGGCTTCTCATCTGCTCATACGCGATAACAAGTAGTCTGCCGAAAGAGGTCACGTCGTAAGAACTGGTTAATTGCTAACTGAAGGCTAAATGGATTAACGGTTAACTAAATGGTCTAATGAAGGACTACCAAATGACATACTTGTTGAACCTCGCTTTTTTAAGTAGTACTGCTATTATTGTCGGCAACTGTCGATAGTGAAGGAGCTACGAGTACTACAGGTTTGCAAAAGGAACACATACTACAGCGGAAATAAGAGTTAATTTACCGTATCCGTGGCAGGCATATTTGTGCGGACGTAAGTCGGTTCCACATTTCGAGCAGAGTCCGTAACCGTGTAGTAGTTTTCAACCAGTACGCGTTTTGCAAGCATGGGTTCTACAACACCATCAACTCGACGGCCGATTGGACTAGTGATTACTTTTGGCGATAAGATGTTATCAGCCGCCAGAGGGGCTTCGTTTAGGTCACTTTTTGGGTTGTTACGTAGGAAAATTCGAACATTGTTCCTGGGGGATTCTAGGGGATTTCCTGACGTTTCTGGTGCTCCCTGGGATCTCTGCAGGTAGAACATACAAAAAAGTTAATTAGCACAAGGTCAGAGGGGTTCATTTGACCTTCAGAACAGAGTAGGACATTTTCAGACTGATTGGATGAAAAATATTCTGCAGCCAATTTCATTGCAGAGGAAGATACAACGAGAGAGAAGGTTTGCACTGATTACTAGCATATTTTTTTTCCAAAATATAAAGCAGATCGGATAAAAATAAGAAGGTTAAAGGGAACTTCAATTTGCTTTCCTGAAAGAGATATTAAATGTAAAATTGTCACCGGAATAAGTTGTCACTTGAATGTCTGTGCGTTTGCCAAACATTCAGTAAATGACAGCAATGTACAGGACCGCTGGATTGCACGAGAATTTGAAATCCAAACAGTGAACGGATGAAAACATAGTATCCCGTGGAAATAGCTTTTGGTGATTTTGGTTAAATATTTGAAACACAACTTATAGTCTTCGCCAACCCAAACGATTTCACTGCCAATAAAATTTACAGTGGATAATTTGATGTGCTTTGAGTTATAGCACTGATAACGGAAAACTGTAAGAAGCGGGAAATTTAACAGCGTAAACTGCAAATGAAAGGTTGAGTTTAAAAACGAAGAGCGAAATAATTTGAACTAACTGAAAACGAATATCCTCTAATCTGCGGTTGCCAGAATGTATGTTAGGTTACGATGACTGTGTTACTGAATCTGTTAAAGTAGCTAAAGCAAATAAATCTAATTAACGCACTGTTTGCTAGAAATGAAGTTGAACAAGGCAAAGGTGGTGAACTACACAAAACGCAATAGGATCTCGGGAACTCCTATTCCACTGCCTGCCATCTTTGTCTACTAAAAAATATAATCTGTTACATTAAACATCGAGCCAAAGGGATGATCACTGGTAGGTTAATAAAAGAGGAACTTGCCAATAGAAGTGAACATCCGTGTCCCAGGAAGCAATTGAGAAGAAGACTCGATCGCTGGGACA